TTTGAGCTTAACAAAACCAATGTGTTGAGTAAAAATTTTGTTGCAGGTAGGTTGGTTAATAACAATATTGTGTAGGCGGTATTCAATAGTAGAAATGATAACTGTATTAATAATATAGCAAGCATGTGAATCAGTTATGCATTTTGTTTTTGCGATTTGAATAAGTTTGGAGGATTCAGAGATAATTAATTTTGTTTGTTTAGATTGCCTGGCATCCAAAGTAAACCAGCAACCTAAAAATTTAAAAGTTTGTTTGGAGGAATGTAGTAGGAGTAAGTAGTTATTATAAAAGATAGGAGTATAGTGAGATGAAGGGTTATTAGTAACCAGAATAGATTTTGAAGAGTTAACTTGAATATTTGCCATAGTATAAAATGATTCAGTTATAGATAATATATGAGATAACTCAGTTTGTAAGGAAGCAACCCAAAGAGTATCATTCATGTATGCTAGAACAGAGCATTGTTTTTGTAATGAATGAGTTGTTTGAAGTTTTAGATTAGTAGTCCAAGTAGATTGTAAGGTATACCCAGGGACTTTTGAGTATATGTATGAAATAAGTGGGTCATAATAAATGTGCCATAATAGAGGTGTAATTGTTTCACCCTGGTCAATACCATTGTGAACTGGGTAAGAGGGAGTAAGACCAAGGTTGGTAATAACTTGATTGTGATGATCAGTAAGAAGATGAATAAGAATGTTGATAGTAGATGAAGGAAGTGAGAAATAGAAGAGTGAGTGTTTAAAAAGAGCAAAGTTTACAGAGTCATATGCTTTGCTCATATCTTGTGAGAGTAACCAAATATCTTTGTGATTACAAGTAGCATCTTCAATAAGATTGTTGAAAATATGAATAGGAATTGAGGTACTATTATTTGGAAGTGCAGCATAGTTAAAGGATGAAAGAATAGGATTTGAGAAAAATACAGAGCTAAGTCAGTTTATAAGAATTTTAGTGTAAAGTTTGCAAATGTGTTCAATCAGACTGATGGGTTATGTGAGATTAAGGTCACCATCAAAGGTGTTGCATTTGGGAATAGGATAAATTCTACTATGTTTTCATTGTTTAAGAATTTTGTTATCAAGAAGGCATCGATTGAAAAGGGCAATAATAGCAAGAATACATTGGGGACTAATGTGTTTAAGCATTTCATAGCTAATGCCAGTAGGACCACAGGCTTTGTTATTAGGTAATTGTATAAGGGTTTGAAGAAGTTCTTCATTGATAATAGGAGAGTTAAGAGAATGATATCAGTTTGAGTTGATGTGAGGAAGTAGGAAGTATTGTTGTTTCCAGAAGTTATTAAAGAGAATTTCATTAATAGGTCTAAGTGCAGTCCAATTATAGAAATGAGATTGGACATGTTGTTTAATAAGTGATGAGTTAGTAATAAGTTGGTTTAGCAATTTTATGTTTGAAAGATGAACAGGTTGATGGTAGCAATTGAGAATGCTGTTAATAGCCTAGGTAGGATGTGTAGTTAGAGTAACACATCTTTTGTCAATGGCTTTATTGATTTGTTGTCGGAGTAGAAGAGAGTTTTCAAGATGACAAGCATGGTAAAGTTGTTTTAAAATGGAGTGGGCATGTCGAAGCCATAGTTGAATATAGGAGGAGTTGACAGAGGTAAGTAATTGAAGGTTACATTGTGACTGTTTATTAATTTGAGAAATGTTTTAATTGATATTTGAAATGTTAGAAGTTTGGGTTTATTTTTTAACAAGTTTAATAATATGTCCAAGTTTTTTAAGAGAGAGATGTAATAGGGTACTATGGGGTGAATACTGGTAGTTGTAGCTACATTTGTGAGAGATTTTGTTAGGAATTGTATGAGTAGCTGCATAGATTATAGAGAATTGAATTTTGTGCCAAGTAGTTTCAATACTTTCATCTGTAATGCTATTAGTGAGAGTTTTGTGTTGAGAAAGTTGTTGAGTTAGAGTATCAGCAAAGAAGTTCCAGTTTTCTGTAGTCATTGTTTTATAATTGAATATACAATGACTAATTTCAGTATGTTTCCATAAAGGTTTACTGTAGACATGTGGAAATATCCAAGTAGAAATAAGAATTAAATAATCACTTAATGTAGAGGTTTGGCTGTTATCAAGACTGTAAGAAAGAAGGAATTGTATATTAAATTGGTTAGTCCAGATGTAGTCAATGCAACTACTACTAGTGTTGTTACTCTATAAAAAAAATTATACAGAATAAATTATATTTTTGTTAAGTTTTATACAACTTATATTCAAAATAGATTCAATACAATTCAATATTTGTATTGAAGCAGAAAAACTAAAAAATCTATAAAGTAATAATAATTGTATAAAAATATACAATTCCATAAATTTGACCAATAATTATGCAAAATAATTGTATATGATTCTATAATATTAAATTTGGTTAGTAATTATATATAAAAATTGTACAGAAATAAGCAATATTATAGTCTTATTTGTATTATAATTATGTTATAATTATATTAATACTTGTATTGTAATTGTAACAACAGTTGTATTGCAATTGTACTCTAATTTTATTACAGTTGTACTGTATAAGCTTATGTTAATAAACTGTATGTTTTTATTTTAATCTTTAACAATTTATATGTGAACCCGAATTTAACCCGAGCTTGTGTTACAGCTCAACTAACAAGCATAGAAGAAAGTGTAATTTATCACATTTATTGCATTTATGACATTGTTGCATTTATGAAATTTTTTATATAAATTAGACATATAGTATATAAGCCATTTACTTGTAACAGTACTCTTTTAATATAAATAAAGACTGTGAAGTCCCTAGAGAGAATAAGTTCCATGCTACTTACAACTTTCGCATTCAATCAAGTTCCTATTGATTTATATAAACTTAAGTTTACTAAGTAAATATAGTGCTAACTAGAATACCCAAACCCGGATCTATTGTTAAGTAGGATAGTGATAGATCTTCGTTCGTATAATTGTCTTGCTCATGTGACTTTATCTGAATATTGATCATCACATGTCTTTTTCAGCTTCCATGGATGCTGAAATCAAGAAATAAATTTCTATAATTTTTTTTACATATTATCAGCAAAAGCTAAGGTTGGCCTTTGTTGGCCTTTAGTTATTTAATGTTTTTCTAATTTTATTTCCTGGGCAACTACACTTTGTGTTGCATTATTCAACCACACTAACTATCTACGATCCCAACTTGCAAATCTAACATGCCCTTATCGATTGAGCCATATTGTAGATTACATGAGATCTTGTTTTGTAGAGTGACTGACTCCCCATTTACTAGTGTCAATATCTAAAATATAGATTTATTTATTAGTATATTTTAAGTAATATCCTAAATAGAATGAACTGAAATCTGATATATATATATATATATACATATGGGTTATATATTTTCAACATTATATATATATATAGATATTTCAAACATATAATCAATTCTGTGAAATTTTAAGTTCTATATTAGTTCATTATAGTAAGTGATAACTCTTGGAAAATTTTTCTGTTTGTTATAAAAAAGGTTAATATATTTCAGAATAAACTTTGAATTCGAATGTATTTAATTTAGAAACTATAAAGTAAAATTAAAATTTTACTTTTTTATAATCAATCAGTTTTGCTATAACATCACTTTTTAAAAAAGAAGCTTCATGAAAATATTTACTTGCGTACTACAAAATATATATACACATTTGATATATAAAAAATATGAACACCACATATTCTATTTAAATAATACGATACCAAAGATAATGTTTTCTAAATCTGTATAATATTTTTTATAATACACAATTATTTATTATCATCTACCTCTTTATATACAATGTAAAATAACTTATCAATTTCAATAAAACCAACACAATAATCAATAGCTGATGAATCAATAAATGCATATGACCCTAACTGACTAAATGTCTTCACACCAGTACTATCTTTTTTAAAAGGCGATGTCCACTGAACATATGCCAACATTACTTTTGATTCTTCAAACTCATAAACTAAATAATATTCTACAATAGCATAAAAATCTTGAACTTCGAATACTGACAGTCATTTAGAATAGTTCGCATAAATATCTACTTCTATCTTTACCATAACAGTATAATTAATCCATAACCAGTTTTTATTATGGTGAATCCATTTTGACCCAATATAATGGCTGTCTTTTGTTCTAAGCCAACTATACTTTGTTCCTGTTTGACTAAAAGACATAAGCTGCAACTCGGACACATCTGATATAGTAGAAAAAAGTTCTTTAATTTTTTTTAATTCAGCCTGTGTTAATTTGTATAGAGTTGAAAAAAAATAGAAATCTTGTCCACCTTCTCCAGTGTAAGCCAGATGTTCATCATAAATTTTGGGCAAAATTGATAAGAAAATTTGGTTATATATTATTCGGTTAAATTTTAAACAATTAAAAATTTCATGTAAGTGAACATTATTAGTAAGATTCTTGTACGGATGTAATTTTGATTTAGTTAGGGGAAGTAGCATTCCACACATCCTTTCAATTGGATATTGCCATGTCATATAACAGGGTCCAGTTTGAAAGATACTTTCTGAAACATGCAATATATTATGTATACATATTTTCATTATGCTTAAACATTCTGATAGCCCATGATAATACTCTTTTTTATAATGTCTATAAAATGCTAGAAGATATGATCTAATTTTATTTAAATCATCATATGTTATTATTTTTTTTTGACATAATCGTACAGCCTTTACAAACAACCCACATCCTTTGTAATATTTATTAGGCAATTGATTTTTTAAAAATGGTAGTGAATACATTGTAATCCAAGTGGACCATTCCTCTGCTTTATAGCCACAGTAATGCAAAACAATGTTTCGCAATGGCTGACCCAAACTTGATGGAATGTTTTTTCGTACTAAATGCATCTTATTTTCAATTTTATTCTATGTTTCTTTGTTTAAAACATATTCACCATTATTTTGATCTTGATCAGTAAAAAAAGAACCCATCCAATGAGCCAGCATATAACCAGCAATGTTCTCATAAAATAAGTGCATAATATCCACAGGGAATGTATTTGGGAAGTTGGTAGTATTGAGATTAAATAATATACTTTGTTTGCAAATACCATAACATTTTATTGTTTGATTTTTTTCTAATTGTGTTTGTGCTTTTTGAATTTTTTTTATTTGTCTTTTGAATTCATTATGAGTTCTAATTGGTAAATTTTCAGGATCATAAGTTTCACTATTTTGATTACTGGGTGGTTTGGTAGGATAATATATATGCAAAGAATAAATGCCTTTAATATTGCAATAGTGGCATCCTCTATATAAATTATGCCTTATAAGATACATTAATTTTGTAAGTGCAGGTGTGTCACCAGACCAAGATAGTATACAACTACATAATATGAATGTATCTTCATGTTGAACACTAGGACACACTACTTCTTCTAATCTTTGTAGTTCAGCAATGGCAGGAAATAAAAAAGAATTTAGATCTTTCAGTTCTTTTGGACTTGGTATAATTGTGGAGATCAAAAAATTTTCTTTTTTTACACATATTTCAGAAGATAAATTTGCATTTATAAATAGCAGAATCTAGCAGTCATCTGTTCTCTGTTTAAAAATTTGAAACCCATCAATCGATGCTAATAATGCAACATTATACTTTTCTTTAAAATATTCTCTTTGTACTAGTTCTTTATATCGTTGGCCATTGAACACATCACCAATTTTTTCATTACGTTGATATTCTGGCTTTGATACATATTCTGAACAATAAAGTAGATTTTTTGTTTGTTCTGCATCTTGGTATTGCATTGTAAGACAATCAATAATTGGGAAATATGCAAATTTACAATGTGCTTTAGGATTTTTGTTATTATGAAATTCAGCTTGATATTGTTCCTTTTTACAATATGGACATTCTGTAAGATTACTATAATCGCCAGTATAAGCACAACAGGTATTGATACACATATCTATCCACACAAGTTTAAATGGAATTAATGATAATAGTTTTTTTTTAATTAAATATAAGCTCATAGGTTTTGTAACTACAGCCTTCATGATTTCAAAAAAGGCTTCATTAGTAAGATTATTTTGCACTTTAATTTTCAGAAGCCGAATCATAGTAGCAAGTTCAGGAAATATAAAGGGTATATTTTCTAATATTTAATTATATGTAAATAAATAAAGTTGCTGTAAATAAATAAAGTTGCAAACTAGTAGATATTATAATGTAGTATATTACCTTCAATATCTGTATTACTTGTATCTGTTATAGTTGAATTATTACTATCACTCTCTGACTCATTATTAGAATCTTCATACTCAAGCCTGCTCATATACTCATCACCACCTCTAAACTATTTCCTAATTCATCATAGTTCTCAAATTCATTTCCACTCTTTAAACTATTCCCTGATTTGTCATTGTCTTCAAATTCATTTCCACACTCTAAACTATTCACTCATTCATTATTGTCTTCAAATTCATTTCCACACTCTAAACTATTCTCCCATTCATCATTGTCCTCAAATTCATTTCTACTCCATAAACTATTCTCCAATTCAACATTATTCTCAAATTCATTTTTGCTTTCCAAACTATTCCCCAATTCATCATTGTTCTCAACTTCATTTTCACTTTCCAAACTATTCATCAATTCATTACCATCATCAAATTTATTTCTGCTTTTCAAGCTATTCACTGATTCATCACAATTAGAGTTCCTATCCATTATCCATTTATCCATTTATCTGTTGGATATCCAGATCTGAATTTATTTGGATATCCATTTTACTATTGATATCCGGATAATTATCTGAATATTTGTTCGGATTATCCAGATACTAATAGTAAATGAATATCCGGATAAATTCAGATATGGATAAATGGATGACGGATTTATCCAGATTGGACCTCTAATCACAATCTTCTAATTCATCTCTACTTTTCAATTTATATACCAATTCATCTTCATGCCCTGAACTATTCTCTAATTCGAACCCACTTCCAAATTTATCTACTTCTAAATTATTATCAAAGTCACTATAATTTTCTAAATTATTCTTATAATCTTAATAGGCTTGCAGAGATTCTTCTGAATTTAGATTAAACTCAACTGAATTTTGATAAAAATTATTGTCTGTAGCTGAAATTTGAATGTTACTTTGTAATGTTGAATTATTACTAGGACTTTGGATATTTCATTTATCACGTCATTGATGCCGAGTTTTAGCACTTTTTGATGTCCATGAACCAACATCATTATTTGATGAGCACAAATGACAAGTACACTACACCAACATTTAGAAATTATATTGATAATTTTTTTTTTAAAAAAAAAAAAATCAATAAATAAATAAATATATATATATATTTTTTGATTTAATTAGTCACGTGTTAAAATGTTCAGAATTATATGTTTATGCTTCTATTTTGTAGCAAGAATGTTTGGGTCTCAGACCTTTTTTAAATAATTAATTTCTTTCGTATTAAAAAAAAAGAGTTTGTTGTTTGTCTTCTCTATCTATTTCCTTATTTTATCAACTCCAACCAACCAACATCTTTACTTCTTTAATTAACTCCAACCAACACCTTACTTTTTCAACATGCAAGGTTAACACAAATATTTGTTTTACATTCCCAATAAAAAGTTGTTGTATATAAATTGTATAATTTTTGTTTAGTGTTTGTAATTATTGTTTAAAATTTGTTTGAAATTTATATAAATAAAAAAAAAATTATATTTTTATAAAATTTAAATATTTAATTTTTGTAAATATTTTGTTAGTTAAATAATTTAAATTAAAAATTTGTTTGAAATTTGTATAAATAAAAAATATATATATATTTTTTATAAAATATAAATATAAAATTTTTGTAAATATTTTATTAAATAATTAAACAAAAATTTGTTTGAAATTTGTATAACTAATAATAAAAATTTGTTATAATTATTAATAATTTATTTTTATTTTATTTTAATATTAAAGGTGAGTAAATTATTTTTATTAACAGATATAATTTATTGTTCTAATATATAAAATTCTATATACTATTATATATTTAAAATAAGTTTAGAATTAATTAATTTGTAAAAAAATAATTTTTTTTTTGTTAATTGATATGTAATATTATACTGAATATATTGTATATAGGATATTTAAAACAAATTTAAACCAAATTCAAAACAAATTTAAGATTTTTAAAAAAATATTATTAACTTAAAAACAACATTCTTTTAAATCTTAAATAAAATTGCTAAAAATATAATTTACATATATTTTATTATTACTTTAATATAGCCTTTAACAAATTACTTACAAAAGTGTTGTGGTTCCTGGCATAGTACAAATTTCAAAATTTTCAAAGATTCTGACTTCACAGAATAATTATTTTAATAGAATTGCTGGGGTTCTTAAAATAGATATTCTTATGTTAATTGTTGTAATTACTTGTAATCCTAGTAATATAGTAATACCAATGATAGTTAGCATAGTTATTATTATATTATATATGTAAAGAAACTATAAATATTGTGATACTTTTCTCTGTAATAAAGATAACTCAGTGTTCAACATCAATTAGATGCTTATCTCCAGTAATCCTCGATAGATAGTATGAATTAACAGTAACAAAGTAGTATTAGTATTATAAACTGATAATCCCAATAGTGAAATAGTGATACAATCTTGTAATTCCATAATCGAGCTTTATGATGTAATCTAGAGCTCTAATCTATATGCCTTAATTACTCGAATCAAATCTATCCATGCCTCAATCATAGCCTTCACCTATTAGAGGTTTAGGTTAGACAAGTTTAGTTTAGTAGTTTTAAATAGTATTAGTATTGTCCTGACACATATCTACAACAGAGCAGTTGTCACTTACACAACAGTCAAAATGTATAATATTGACACTATGGCATGGGATCGATTTTTGTTCACTTATATGCTAGACCTCAAGTAAGCCAATTAAAAGTCAGGGTCAGTTATAATATGAAAAATCCAAAAACAAACATTTGCTTTGTAAAAATCATACTTATTTCAAAATATAGATTAGCAAGTTATTTGTATTCCTAACAAAAAAAATTCTTTTACAAATTTGCTATTTTAAGTCTAAACCTAATCCGAACCCTAAATATAAGTTGGATTTTTTTTTGTTCTGCAACTATAAGTATGGCTTTTTACAAAATTTACTTTCATGTGACAATCAAAGAAACTGCCTTTTATGCACTAGCAAAAAAATTTTCTTGGAAAATTTACTATACATAGCGCTATTCTTTAACCTTAATCTATACATTAACTCCAACCTAAACGAAATTAAAAGTTTTTTTGATGATAACATATTTGTCAGTGCTATAGGAAAAGTTGAAAAATTATATGAGCAGAAAATTGATCAATGTTCTGTCAATTGTGCATACAATGAAAATGAATATTGTGCATAAATTTTTCCAATAACTTATTTTGTTACAACTGGTGCTTTTTAAACGACATAATACAGTCACTCATTATCTTCACTACATGATTCTATATAACTATCATCAGGATCATCTACCTCCTTGTCAATGATAAATAAGAAATTTCTACATTTTAAGAACCCTACGCATCGATCAATTACTCGCACATTGATAAACTGTTTGATTTCAAATTCTCTAAAAAATTTGAGCCCATACTCATCTTCATTAATCTTTTGAGTCCATTGTATAAGTGTCATCAAATGTGTATTGCCATTGAATTAGTGAACAAAGTAATATTCTATGTGCCCATAAAATTCTTAAATTTCAAACTTAGAAGGTTGGTTTTTAAATGCTGCCCACTTGTCTACTTTCATCCATGCCTAAAAATATTATTCAATTAGGATAGTTATTAAAAAATACTTTATATTATAAAAACTTACTGCTATTCCATAATTGATTCTTTCAAAGTTTTTATTTTTTCATCCCCACATAGAACCAATAAAATAATCATGTCGATTTTGCATTCATGTATATTTCTTTTCATATTTTGGAAATTCCTAAACAAAAGTTAATTACATACTATACATAGATATATATTAATATTATGTATTAGATATGTATTAGATACTTGCCTATAATATAGTTTTAACCTCATAACATATTATATACTGTTTTTTTAATTTATTTACTATCGATTTATTGAAATAATGTATTGCAGTTGGTGAATAAAATTTTTCTTCATAATTAGGATCTGTATATATTATGTTATTATTATATTGGCTTATTTTATTTCTTAATGGATGAACTTGTTGATAAATATGCTCAATGAATCGTAAATGATTCAATCGTTCTCTAAGAATAATTTGATTTGCTAAGTTGTTATAAGGATGAAGCTTCGATTGAACAAGGGGTACTAACATTTTACACAATCATTCCATTGGGAATTGCCAAGTGCTCCAGCAAGGACTATTTGTTTCTATAGTATCAGCAAGATGTAAAAGGTAATAGAAGCACATTTTTATTGCTGGTAAATGCATTTGATCTTGCTTATAATATGTCCTATTAATCAATTAAAATTTGTTATAAGTCAAATAAAAATTTAATATATCGAATGGCATATGTTAAAAATATGAATATGGTTATATTGATTAGCAGTTTGGATATAAATGAATATAGGTAAATTTATCTTTTATAATGATTATAAAAGTCAACAGTTAGCCTTCGGATTTCATTAATATCATTCAATGATATTATTCATTTTTGACATAATTTAATAGCAGCCACAAACAAAATCCAACCTTGCATTATTTTTTTTGGTAAATATTCTCTTAATAATGGCATTGAATAAAGTGTCACCCAATTTGCCCATTCCTCTGGCTTAAATCCATTATGGTGATTAACAATATTTCTCGGAGGTCAGCCAAAGTATATCGGCATTGATTTTCGATTTTTTTCCATTATTTTTCCAATTGCAACCCAGGTACTTTTTTGAACAATATATTCATTTGTATTCAAGTTTGCATTATTAGAATAAAAGCTTCTGTACCAATGTTTAAACATATATCCCAGTATATTTTCATATAACAAATACATGATATCAATTGGAAATGAATCAGGGAATTTAGTTGATTTTAATTCAAATAATATACTTTGACTATTAACTCCTGACATTATTTAAATTTAAATTAGTGCAAATTGTATTAATTACAAAGCAAGACCAAAATGTGTGATAGGTTACAACATCAGCCTATATTAAATAGAATTTGATGTTCAATTGAGAAGTGTTAAAAAGAAGATTTAAAGAAAAGCTATACCAAAATTATAGGTAGAATTTGTTTCTTAGAATACCAAGCACAATTTCTGAGACGATTTTGAAATATAAAACAGCTTTTTCTTAATTTGTTGATTCTGTCACACACTTCGGTTATGCAATTACAAAATATGCAGCATACCAGTAGTAGTTTCTATTTGTTTTCTTTCCCTATAATTTTTAGCTGCTTTCTATTCTCGTATTTTATTTAAGTAATCTTGATGTGTTCTTTTTGGAAGGTTACTTGGATCATAGACCACTCCTTGTTTGTTTTTAAGAGGCCTTGTAGGAAAATAAACATGATTTTCCCATATTCCACATATGTTACAATACCTACAACCTTGGTAAGAATTGTGTCCAGTGGTACACATCAATTTTGCAAGGGCTGGCGTTTCTTCTAACCAAGATACGACAGAGCAATGTAGAATAAAATCTTCATTTTTAGATCCATTTTGCATTTGATTCCATCTTAACCAAGTAATTAAAATTTACAAGAAAAAAAAAATCTTAACTGATATTTAATCAGAGGCTCAAAAAAAAAATAATAATAATAATACATATATATATATAATTAAATAACTTAGATTCTTACATTCTAATTCTTTAAGCTTATCTATTACTAGACGAAGAAAAGAGTTTAAGTTGCCTGATGCAGATGGACCTGGAATTAAGGCTCCAATTAATAGGTTGTTTCATTTCGCTCGATTCTCTGGTCGAATATTTGCATTTATGAATAAAATTATCCAACAATCGGCAGTTTTTGTTTAAAGATATTATATCCATCAAGTGAAGCTATTAATGCAATATCTCGATTATTTTTAAAATGTTCTTCTTCTATTAACTCCTGGTATCATCTACCATCAAATATATTGCTGAATAATTCATATTGTTCATGTTCTTTATCCTTCATATAATTAGTTCGATATTGTAATTCTAATGACTGGTGAGGATTTTGGTACTGAATAATAAACCGATCTTTTAAAAAAAAAAATGCCATTTTTTTTATGCCAACTTTTTTTTTTGAGTTTCCTTTGTACCTCTCCTCCCTACAAACTGGACATTCTTGTAAATCTTTCAAATTACTGGTAAAGGCGCAACAACTTTTCACACAACAATCAACCCATATTGGATCAATTGATACTAGACTTGATAATTTTTTAGTGGCACGATATAATGATATATTTTGTTCACTAAAAGCATCCATTATTTTACGAAATGTTTCATTCGTCATATTAGAATGGACTTTTATTTCCAGAAGTCTATAAGCTTCTGAAAATCCAGGAGGTAGTTGAATAGTTGTATGATCTAAAAAAATGATAAAATTTTGAAAATTAAAAAGAATATAAAAATATCTAAAATTTGGTTTGCCTTACAATCTTCATTTGACTTGCTATTTGATACCGAATTTGAATCTGTTAGTAGTTCATTATCAGATGTACTAAAATCAGGTTTAATTAAAATTCAACAATATATGGAAATTATTATTCTAATTAATCTGAAACAAACACTAATGCAAAAAAAATATTTGCTTACTTTTCACTAGCTTCCCAAGAGTATAATTCACAATTAGTAAGTGATTCTAGGTCTATAATTTCGGTATTGCTCAGCATTTGATCATTAAAGATTTGTTCATTATCACTTAATTCTTGTTCATTATCGCTTAATTCTTGTTCAACAATACTCATTCCTTGTTCATCACTACTCAATTGAGTTTTTTCGCCTTGAGGATACTTCTTATGATGATGTATACATGTTGAAATAGAAACTAAATTTCGACTTAAAGGAGTTCTTTGGCATTTTAAACAATCACAAAGGACTTTTAGCCCTTTATTGCTTATTTTTTTTTTCTTTTGACAACTTTTAACAATCATTTGAATTATTTATAGCAATGAAATTTTTCAATAATTGAATCTTGATGATAAGAGAAAAAAGGCAATAGTACTGCCGTAGTAAACTTTAAAGCTATATATGGTAATACATTAAATTATATATTTTTATAGAAGACAATTTACTACAGAACTTTCGTGACAAATATTGTCGATCAATTTAAATGAATTTGTTTAAAATACTATTTATATATTCATGTGACATATAAAAAAAATTGTTGCATCACACCAGGGATAGTATTCACGAACAGTAATAATTAATTGTATGTATGTGTATATAATTTTACTGATTTTGATATTTATAAATTGTCTTTCTTTTTCTTGACAAAATATAAATCTTTTTCATATAAGATATTATTTATCATAAAATGGACGAAGCATCAGATTATTATTCGAATTCAGAAAGTGATTCTTTCACTAGCGAATTAACTTTCCATGAACAAGACGCAATATCAAATAAAATTATCAAGCCTAAAAAGAAAATTTCTGAACTTAAAGATGTTTTCACATTGAAAGAGGCAAGATTGAATAAAGAGCAAAAGTGACCATCAAATCGAAATAAGATGCAAATTGAATCTTCCGATAATAGAACCTCTAAAATGACAATGAATAAAGTGAAAAAAGGATCATCAAGTCGAAGTAAGGTGCAAATAGTAGAAGATGAATCTTCTGATGATAAAGCCTTCAAAGTAAAAATGAATAAAGTGAAAAAGGGGCCATTAAATCGGAATAAGATGCAAATTGTAGATAAATCTTTTGATGATAAAACCTCTAAGGCAACAATAAATAAACTAAATAAAGTGCCAATCATAAATAAATTTTCTAATGAAATAGGGAAGAAAGGGCCATTAAAACGAAGTCGACTAGAAGAAAATGATACTAAATTTTCCAGCGATGATCCTGAACAGGTATTCGAAAAATGAATGTTTAATTTATATACATACATATTTCTATTCTATTGATTTTATTATTCATATAGCCAGTATTCAAAAAGAAAAATCTAAACTATCAAAAACTTCCTTCTTTTCTTCATATTCCAAAGAGAATTTAGGGTGGTTATATAGTATATCATTCATAATCTGTTTCAAATATTTCATAAATGATTTAACTTTATAAAATTACAGGAATCTATGAGACTCATAGTGGCGGAAAGACTTTATCATCTGTGTTCTACTACTGAATACCATGATATGCCTCTTGTTGAAATTAACAAATATATCGATAAGGTAGTTTTATTATTTGAGCTATACTACCGAAGCCACTATCCCTATTAACTATTTAATATTGACTTTGTTGTCTAAGTTAAGCTGAATCTTAAGTCAAATTCCATAATCCATTTTGGTTTAGCTTGCGTCTAACAATATTTATTGTTACTTTTTTTGAATATTTTTTTTTTAATTTAAATGTTTTTATTTGGCACTAGTTTCGTAGAAAAAATCCATCCTTTCTAGCAACAGTTAGTGATTGGGCAGAACATGAAATGATTTGTCGTCATATCAATTATAAAAGTAAATTTATCTTAGTCTTGTTTTATATTATATCAATCTTGTCAATAACTATTTTTAAAACTTATAGGATCAACACTTAACCTTAGTGAGATTCAGAATATAACCATTGCTGCTAATAATAGAATCAAAGCCTGTAAATTGAATGGCAACAGTAAAAAGGCTAAAATGAAAAAACAAGCTGATCACAACAACGAAATTAATTCAGCTACTGACATTAATAGTGAAATGCCTGAAATTTACGATACAACCACTACTGCTAAGAATAGTGATAGATCAAGAACCTGTAAACTGAATGACAATAATAGGTCTAAAAAAGACAAACAAGTTGATCACAATGAAACTAATTCAGCTATTGATGTTAATAGTGAGATGTCCAAAATTCAATCAAATAACAATAGTAGATCTAAAAAAGGAAAACAAGTTGATCACAGTAAAATTAATCCAGCCATCGATGTTGATAGTAAAATGTCCGAAATTCAAGATACAACTACTTCTAATAGTAGTTCTAAAAAAGGAAATCAAGTTGATCACAATGAAATTAATCCAGCCATCGATATCGATAGTAAGATGTCTGAAATTCAAGATACAACTACTTCTAATGCTAATAGTAAAACTAAACTAAATAACAATAGAAGGTCTAAAAAAGGAAAACAAGTTCATTACAATGAAGTTATTGATGTCGATAGTGAGATGTCCGAAATTCAAGATACAACTACTTCTAATGCTAATAGTAAAACTAACTTGAATAACAATAGAAGGTCTAAAAAAGGAAAACGAGTTGATCACAATAAAGCTATTGATGTCAATAGTGAGATGTCTGAAAATCAAGATACAACCACTTCTGCTAATAATAGCGATAGGACAAAATTCCATAAACCGAATGACTATAGTAACAAGTCTAAAAAAGGTAACCAAGTTGATCACAATGAAATTAATCTGGAAAAAATACTGTTAGGTTTTCTTATAATTACTTTTCTTTGTATAATGTTTACCAAATTTTTTTTGATTAAAATAGATCCATTGTTAGCATCTAGCAGAACAAATATTGAAGGTTTAAAAAAACTTGACAAACATCCACGAAGTAAGGTCTAAATTTTAAATGAACACAATCATGCATATAGTTAATTAACTATATAATTGCGATATAAAGTACTATAGGTATTATAGCGAAGGTGGGTTAATATGGTAAACCAATATTGGGTAAAATAAATAGCTGTGCAATGCTGTTGCACTAAAACCAGGAACGAAAATTATTTGATTACTACATCTAATCGGAATTAAGGCTTTGTATATGAAAAGAAAGCTTGAATATATATTTCAATTTACTACGTTTCTAGGATTCGATTCTGGCATTCAATATACTACATTCTTAGTATTCAATTAACTATATGCCTGAATTTGATCTACTGCATTCCTGGTATTTGATCTATTATGTTACTAGTATCTACTACATTTCTGTTTTACTACATTCCTAATCTTATTGGATTACAAAATATCGATTTACCATGTTAACCCACCTTAACCACAATACCTATGTACTTTCATATTATCATATTAACTAACAGAAAACAACACATCCACAGCTTATCTAAGACGTTCTGGTTGCAAGCACAAAGCAACATCATAATTATATAATTACTAGTTTTTTTAACAAAACTTTATTTAACTATAAGTTGAAGAGTAAAAGTAAGAGGCAAAATAGGCCAAAAGCTTTTAATTAGCATTTATTTATATTTAATTATATTCTTATTTTAATATATATTATATTTTAAGATTATAGATTTATATTTTAATACTTACTTAAATCTAATATAACATATATAGTAAATATTTATTACAAAATTAACACATAATTTTTACATATATGTAAAACAAAAATATAAAAATAAAATATAAATTTGTTTTGCTTTTTAAACAAAATTATTACATGTTTATTACAAATTATTTACAAAAACTATATAAATGGATGCTCATAATTGTATTAAAACTGTTATATTAATTTAACTTACAATTTTTATACAAAAATTAAACAAAACTTTTTATTGTGATTGGTTTGAGAAAAAAGATTAGATCTCTTATTAATCACTAATTCTTTTCTTTATATAACCGTTCTTACAAACTTATTTTATACTTTATTATTATCATTATACAAAAATCGAACATAAATACTAAAATAGTAATAATATGCTGCATATGCAGTATTTAAAATAAACTTTACATGCATAGACTTCTGGTTTAACCGATGAATATTTATAGTTAAATTAACTATATATGATCTAAATGTCACTTACATTATATGTCACCTAGTATTATCAAGTAATCCTTATCTAATAATAATTCGCAATACATATGAAATATAGTGTATATGATATTTATGTGTGAAGCTTTATAATGTTTACTAATTGTTACTCTAAACTGAGTCTATCATATATATATCAATATATATACATATTTGTGTGTATGACAATTGATCTCTTTTTTCATAAAATATATTTTCATGATAAAACAATAATTACATATTTAAAATAAAATGGGTTTAAACAAAACTAAAAAACAACTAAGTAATAAAAATAAACGAAGAGCAGATACAAGTGAAGAAGAAGACTTAAACCAATCTGAGATAGAGTCCAAAATGAATGAAAGTGGATCAGGTTTTAACGTTGATAATGAGACTTTTGTAACAAAAAATATTTTAGCTTTATTTAAGTGACTAGAAACCTTGGAAAGACTTCAAATTGCTCATAACAAAGAGGTTAAGAACCAGAAAGCAGATTTCAATTTAGATAATATGAATAATGGCTCATCCAAAAAAAAGACCAAAAGGAAGAAAAATTACAAAAAGGACGATACTTCTAGTTCAGAGACGGAAGATACTGATAATGAGGTTCTATTATATACTGTATATAATATTTCTAATTTGAATCTTTATATAATTTAATAATTTACAATTTAAAGTTAGCTCCAATCAAAAAACCAAATGAAGCAACATATATCGATATCCCTAAAACATTCAAACTGGACAAACCTGTATATAATAGCTATCGGGTAGAATTTTATTACATTGTATAATTATAATAAATAAATAATCATAATAATTATTAATGTTATCTAGGAATCACTTCATTTGATGATTACGGCTAAGTATGCAAAGCAAATGCCTGAATTTCAAAAAATTCCAGAGAATGAAAAGAGTGAAATTATTAGAAAGGCAAATATAATCATAATTTAATTGTATTGTTGATTGCTTAAAATAGTTAAACAAAAAAACTCTTATTTTAGTTCAAGTGAAAGAACCCAGAATTTCCTGCTACAACTTGTGACTGGGCCATTAGATGAACGATGTGAGAAATAATAAATAACAAATGTATATACATATATGCATAAAATTATAGTTTATAAAGTATGTAATTAATTATTTTTAAATAGGTGACACAGAGAAACGCAAAATAAATAATCATTCACTTTACAACAAAAAAAGTAAAACTGGTACGTATAATACTAATTATAGTTGTTATTTTTCTTATATATAATAACTTTATTAACTACTTATAAATTAAGAACAATTGGTTGAATTGAGTGATTTCGTACAATCTATCTCTTGTGCTTCTACTTATTCAGAATCAAATGAAACTCTTCAAGAATTGTAACTAGTCATAGGCTTAAGTAAAAAGCTAAATATATTATCTCAAAAAAAAAAACACTACTAAATTAATTTTTAATTACACACTCAGGCTACTGATCAAATTCATGACTTGGAAGTTGAAACTCCAATTTCAACAAATATGAATGATACTATTGCGGCATCGGCATCTTCTTCACGACTTCCATTAACTACTCTCCAAAATCAAAATAGGGATTCCAATAATACTGATGAGTTATCAGGCAAACCTAAAAAACCTCAAAATTCTAGACGCACACTACATAGTCATACTTCCAGGTATACTAAAATATCATCTTTAATTTGCTTTGGTTGCTTCTGCTATTTTTTGTTGAATTATTAGCCTGTAAATATAAATGCATTAAATTTGTTTCTAAATTGATTTTTTTTTAACTCTCACTTTCACATGTTTACGTAACTCGCTTTCATATATTTGAATGATTCACTTCAACAAAAATATTCACTTGATTCACTTCAACAAAATTATTCACTTGATTCACTTCAACAAAATTATTTACTTGATTCACTTCAACAAAATTATTCACCTGATTCACTTCAACAAAATTATTTGCTTGATTTATTTCAACAAAATTATTCACTTGATTTACTTTAACAAAATTATTCGCTTGATTTACTTCAACAACATATTTGTTTGACTTACTTTCAATAACATATTCATTTGATTTACTTCAATAACATAATCACTTGACTCACTTTTAACAAAACATTCGCTTGACTTACTTTTACCATATTTGCTTGAATCACTTTCATCATATTTGCTTGACTCATTTTCAACATATTTGCTTGACTTATTTTCAACATATTTGCTTGACTCATTTTCAACATATTTGCTTAACTCATTTTCAACAACATATTCACTTAACTCACTTTCACCGTATTCGCATGTTGGATTGTTATTAGCTCGTAAGTATAAATTTCATTGCATTTATTTTTAATTGGTTTTACAATTCGATATCACAAATTTCCTTTTATTTCTCTACTGAATCATTAGTGTGTAAGTACAAACGCTATCATACTTGTTTCTAAAATAATTCTAAGTTGTACTTTCATATTTATCATATTTTTGTTGTTGAAATATTAGAAAGTAAGTATAGAATTATTATATTACTATTGTTTCTAAACGTTATCATTAAATGCACTTTAACGATTTGCTTTTTTAATAACAAATTTTTATTAAATTATTGAAATGTTACCTGCACGAAGTGGTGAAATGAAACCTGCGAAAGCTATAAACATAGAAGACAATGCTTTGTCGACTAAAAGACAGCCTTCAAAAGTGTCTAATAAAAAAAGGATTAATGGTATAAATAGTTCAAATGTAGTAAAGATATTTATAAATAAAAACTAATTCCAACTTTTGTAAAAAAAAAAAATAATTAATACGCATATATGGAATAATTAAGTAATCAAAAACAATAAATATGCATTACATGAAGCCACTGACAATTACTAGACAACAAATATAATGATGATTTTGTGAAATTCATAGTGCTGAATGAAAGTTATTACAATAATAGTATGTAGTTTGCATATATTTGGTATGTTTTATGTACTAAATCAAATAAGATTTGAATAATATTAGTATTATTCTGTGATTATAATTTGGTTTATTTTAATCAAATCTGTAATAAAATTTATACAATTCTAGAATATTTCTTTAATAAAATCTGATTAAATATACAATAAATATTGTACATAAATAAATAATTATTGTTAGAAATTTGTACAAAAAATTGTTCGAAAAATCAGCCCTGTTTTGAACATTTTTTTGAACAAAATCTAGACAAGGGCTTGAACAAAATCTAGACAAAAGCTTGAACAAAATCTAGACAAAAACTTGACAAAATCTAGACAAAAGCTTTGACAAAACCTGAATGTACAATTGAAACATTTTTGGAATTTTTTATAATATTTGTTGAACAAACCTTTTTTATAGGATTAGACCAAGTAAAATGTTTGTTGTTAAAGTAGGCTCCAATATCATACATATTGAAGTGGTTAAGAAAGTTGATAAGTTTGTATTTAGAAGAGAAGCTGTAAGTATTATTCTGTATATTGAAATCACCAAGGATAATAGGATGAAGGTGGAGTTGAGAAGCTTGTTGAATCCAGTTGATTACTGTGTTTTGAGTTTGGTTGGAATAACTATATCAGTAGATGAGAGGTATACTGAGATAATATGGAGTTTGACATTGTTTCGAAAAAAAATGTCAAGTGCAATAGCTCCTTCTGGATGAGTATGAATATTGTGAATATGAGGTTTAAGATGATTACAAATCATGATGGCTGTTCCTTCTACAGAAGTAGGAGAGTTGGACCAGTAGTAGGTAAAAAAATTGTTGTTGC